AAGACATGAATGACCCTTAACCCCTCTAACCATCTTTCTGGCCTGCCTCATATTATAACTGAAAATATTTGAAAAAATATTCATCGTTTGAAATAAATAATGTGGTAAATTTAAAAATCATATTCTCCCTTTTCCCTGGGGCTTTCTGTTATTGGAGTTTGGAGTTTTAATTTTTGATAACTTTTAACTATTGAAGGTTAACCATATCTAGGACAAGAATCTGCCTGAAGTATCTGAAGGTCTTTCCAGTTTTTTCTGAGACTGCATCTTTCCCTAATGTCCATGGTGGCTTTCTAATTTCCCCAGGGGCAGGGAAGGAAGTTTGTTGTTGAGTGTACCTTGTTTTGTGGTTCAAGGAATTCACTAATCAAACCTGAGATCTAACCAATGCACAGCTTGTGTTCTACAACTAAGTCACATTCCAAGCTCCTGCCTCCCAACTTCTGAGTACTCTAGTCTGCAGTTTGGGGCCTACAAAAGAAGAAAAGAGAAAAAATGAAAGGGGGGGCTTGCCAGCTATTTACATATCCTAGAACCATTTCAATGAGAGGGTGGAATTGTCTTTGTCTTTGAGGTTTTCTTGTTTTGTTTTGGGGCCACACCCAGGGGTGCTGGGAAAGGGGTGGGGTTGCTCCCTGCACATGCACCCCTGGGAACTGAACACAGGCCTCAGGCATGCCAAGGGGCATGTGCCTATTGAGCTTTGGTCCATGGGGGACCTGTATTTGCAGCTCTAAAGTAAGCATCACCCAAAATAAGTTAGAGCTAGACTGATTGTACAACAAGTAAGTGCTCACTAAGCATTCACCTAATCTGGGTTTGATCCCTGGAACTCCATAAGGTCTCCCCACTCCCCTCCAAGAGTGATCCCTGAGCACAGTCAGGATTAAGCCCTGAGCACTGCCATGTATGGCCCAAAAAGAGAGAGAGCATAACCTCTATCTGAACATCTATGTTCAGAGAGAGCCATCAGTGATGAGAGCATATCTCATATATTTCGGACAGGATGCTTTCACTCTAATTCCCATAATGGGTTGGCTAGTGACCTGGTCCAGAAAAACGCATAGCAGCCTGCCTGCCACTGGGCAGTGGTGGTGGGAGATGGGCACCTACAACTGGGCAAAAAGCAGAAGATAACCAAAATTAACTGCAGTTTAGCATCCAAACCTTCCCCTGAAAACTGTAAAAACTCTAATAGACTCCAGAGTCAAAAAAGTTCTACATCAAACATATTCTACCAGTGCAATCTTTCCTAAATTGGGAGACATTTTTCTACTGTTCCTTTTCCCTCCATCCTCAGGGATCTTCAAACCTGATTTTAATAATTTGGGGCTGGAGCGATAGCACAGCGGGTAGGGCATTTGCCTTGCACGCGGCAACCGGGTTTGATTCCCAGCATCCCATATGGTCCCCTGAGCACCGCCAGGAGTGATTCCTGAGTACAATCAGGAGTAACCCCAGTGCATTACCAGGTGTAACCCAAAAAGAAAAGAAAACTTTATAAGCTATTAATTATGGGCCAGACCAACAGTACTATGGGTAGGGTGTTTGCCTTGCATGCACCTGGGTTTGATCCCCAGCTTCCCATATGGTCCCCTAAGAACCACCATGAGTTATTCCTGAGTGCAGAGCCAGGAGTCATCCCTAAGTATTACGGGTGTGACCCAAAAACAACAACAAAGTTATTAATCCTGAGGAACTACTTTGTAATTTATATTTAATCAAATATTGACTCAAAACAAAAAAAATCCTGCTAACTCTCTTATCTTTAAATCTTTCACTGGCACATGGACCCACAGACATGTGGTCTTTCAGCTCAGACACAGGCCAAGAGAGGTTTGTGTAGAATCGGTGGAAGAGGCAGCCTCAGTTAAAGGGAATTAGGTCAGACTGACAATTTTTTATCTAATTCAAAACTCAGATATGTGGCCTTATTTAAGAATAATTATCTGAAAATCTTGTGAATAAATTTTTAATCTGATTGCAGTATATATTTAATGTAATACTTCTTCTGAGGCACAGGGGGGAAATATATAAACTGGACTGTCACCATAAAGGGATATCATCCCCATACATGTGAAAGAACAGGGAGAGAGAAAAGCTCTGATCAGAGAATGAACTGTTCCTAACTTCATTCTGAGTATGTTTTGATGATCTCAATAACTAGTCTAAAATGAGACCTGTCAGAAAGAGAGGGACAGACATAGAAAGACTGCATTCATCTGGGGAACATAAAGTAACAAAATAGAAGAGTAACACCCAAGAATAGCCGAGATAAGTACCAGGAGGTTCACTCCATGGCTTGGAGGCCAGCCACACATGCTAGGGGAAAAGGCAGCTCAGAAAGAGAAGGGAGCACCAAATAAAGGTGTTGGGAGGATCCTCCCAAGATGGGAGATGCATGCTAAAAGTAGACTTTAGACCGAACATGATTGCCACTCAATGCAAACCACAGCACCCAAAAGGAAAGAGATGCTCGTATGCTTGAGGGGAGATGTCAGTATATTCAACCCTGTTCCATTGCTCTACAGCTCTGCCTTTGTTCCAGTACCATGCTGTTTTAATTATTACTGCCTTGTAGTAGAGTTTGAAGTTAGGGAGGTTGATTTGCCTTGTAGTAGAGTTTGAAGTTAGGGAGGTTGATTCCTCCCATCTTCTTTTTCCCAAGAATTGCTTTAGCTATTCGTGGGGGCTTATTGTTCCATATAAATTTCAGGAGTGTTTGCTCCACTTCTTTGAAGAATGTCATGGGTATCCTAATAGGGATTGCGTTGAATTTATACAGTGCTTTGGGAAGTAACGCCATGTTAATTCTCCCGATCCATGAACAGGGGATATTTTTCCATTTCCTCGTATCCTCTTTTATTTCCTGAAGTAGTGTTTTGTAGTTTTCTTTGTACAGGTCCTTTACTTTCTTAGTTAAGGTGATTCCTAGGTACTTGATTTTCTGGGGAACAATTGTAAATGGGATTGTTTTCTTCATGTCACTTTCTTCTCTTTCACTATTTGCATGTAGGAAAGCCAAGGACTTTTGGGTGATAAGAGGGCAAGAAAAGTGAAGTGGAGCAAGGAAAGCCTCTTTAACAAATTATCCTGGCAAAACTGGACGGCTACATGCAAAAAAATGGGCTCAGATCTCTGCCTAACTCCATGTACAAAAGTAAGATCTAAGTGAATTAAAGACCTCAACCTCAGACCGGAATCTATAAGGTACATTGAGAAAAAAAGTTGGCAAAACCCTTCATGACATAGAAGCAAATGGTGTCTTCAAAGATGTCACACCGCTGGCCAAGCAAGTGAAAACAGACATAAAGAAATGGGACTATCTTAAACTAAGAAGCTTCTGCACCTCAGAAGAAACAGTGACCAAAATACAAAGACAGTCTACAGAATGGGAAAGGATATTCGCCAACTACACATCTGATAAGGAGTTAATTTCAAGGATATACAAAGTACTGGTTGAACTCCACAAAAAGAAAACATACAACCCCATCAAAAAATGGGGAGATGAAATGAACAGAAACTTTCACAAAGAAGAAATCCGAATGGCTAAAAGGCACATGAGAAATGCTCCACATCATTAGTCATCAGGGAGATGCAGATCAAAACCACAATGAGATATCACTTCACAGAGACTGGCCCATATCCACAAGAACAAAAGCAACCAGTGCTGGCGCGGATGTGGTGAGAAAGGGACGCTCCTTCACTGTTGGTGGGAATGCCGACTGGTTCAGCCCTTTTGGAAAACAGTATGGATGATTCTCAAAAAATTAGAAATTGAGCTCCCATTTGATCCAGCAATACCACTCCTGGGAATATATCCCAGAGAGGCAAAAAAGTATAGTCGAAGTGACATCTGCAATTGTCTGTTTATTGCAGCACTCTTTAGAATAGCCAGAATCTGGAAAAAACCTGAGTGCCCGAGAACAGATGACTGATTAAAGAAACTGGTACATTTACACAATGCAGTACTATGTAGCTGTTAGAAAAGTCGAAGTCACAAAATTTACATACAAGTGGTACTACATGGAAAGTATCATGTTAAGTGAAATGACTCAGAAAGAAAGGGATAGACATAGAAAGATTGCATTCATCTGGGGAACATAAAGTAACAAAATAGGAAACTAACACCCAAGAATGACCAAGATTAGTACCAGGAATTTTATTCCATGACTTGGAGGCCAACCACACATACTAGGGGAAAAGGGAGCTCAGATAAAGAGGGGAACACCAAATAAAGGTGTTGGGAGGATCCTCCCAGGATGGGAGAAGCATGCTGAAAGTAAACAATAGACCAAACATGATTGCCACTCAATGTTTCTTTTGCAAACCACAACACCCAAAAGCAGAGAGAGAACAGAGGGGAATGCCCTGCCACAGAGGCAGGGTGGGATGGTGGGGATGGTGGGTGGGAGGGACACTGGGATCCGTGGTGGTGGGAAATGGGCACCGGTGGAGGGATGGGTATTTGATCATTGTATAATTGAAACCCAAGCACAAAAATGTGTAAGTCTGCAACTGTACCTCATGATGTCTCACTATTAAAAAAATTTTTAATAAAAGAAAAAGGAGAGAGAACAAAAGGGAATGCCCTGCCACAAAGGCAGGGTAGGATGGGGGGGGGGGATGGGGGGTGAGGGATACTGGGATCAGTGGTGGTGGAAAATGGGCACTTGGTGGAAGGATGGGTACTAGATCATTGTATAATTGAAATCCAAGTGCAAAAATTTGTAAGTCTACAACTGTACCTCATGGTGCTTCCCTAATAAAAATTTCAAATAAATAAATAAATAAAATGAGAACTGTACACTTATTTTTTTAATTTTTATTAGTGAAACACCATGAGGTATAGTTGTAGACTTACAAGTTTTTGTGCTTGGGTTTCAGTTATACAATGATCAAGTACCCATCTCTCCATCAGTGCTCATTCTTCACCATCACTAATCCCAGTATCCCTCCCACCCCCCAACCCCCCACCCCACCCTGCTTCTGTGGCAGGGCACTTCCCCGTGTTCTCTCTCTCCTTTTGGGTGCCGTGGTTTGCAAAAGAGGAATTGAGTGGCAATCGTGTTCGAGACCTGTACACTTTTTTTACCTTTAATATAGATGTTAACAGTGGTCACCTATCAACGAGTTTCATAGGCTTTATAATCAAATTTCAAATAATTGCAATAACAAAAAACAAACCACTAACTAAATAAAAGTACAATTCTTTTAAAATATAGTGTAGAAAGTACAAAAAAATGTAATTTATTTGCCTAATTCATCAGAGTTAACTACAAAGATACATTTTTGCCTTGGAGTTATCATTTTCTCTTATCAGTTAGTTACCTTTTCTGATGCTAAAATCACTATCTTCTGTTCCAGCTGTATTTGTTCAAATTTTATACATCTGTCTGCTTTATGACCAAATTTTCTTCATAATCACTGAGCTTCTATAAAATAAATATCACTGTCTTCATATGTTCGAGTAATATCGATCACGGTTTTGAAAGTCTCTATGTGCATATCTTGCATAAGTCTTGTTATGTGGGATCCTTCCAAAAGGTTCATGGTCATTGAAACAAGATTCAAAAACTTCATCCACAGCCTTTTGAGCTACTTCTTTGCTTACATTTCTAACAGCCAGAATAGAAAGAATGGCTCTGTCTCGCACACAAGCCTAAGGAGAAGGGAAAGTAAGTGGCTTTAAGTTTAGGTGAAAATTTAATCATAAAACAGTATTTTGCATTATGTCAAAATCACAATTAAAATGAATTTCCTCGAGTATCATGCTAAGTGAAATAAGTCAAAAGGAGAGGGGCAGATATAGAATGACTGCATTTATTTGTGGTATATTAAAAATATATATATATATATAGTAGAAGACTAATATCCACGGTCGGGGAAAGCAGGGGCTAGGAGGAATGGTCAATGTTGGAATTAACCACAAGGGTGTGACAGCAGAGGGTAGGTAAGATAGAGAAGGGACCAGTATGACAATAATAGCTGGGAATGATCACACTGGACAAGATCTGAGTGTTAAAAGTAGGTAAAGGGATATTCTTTTTTTTTTTCATTAGTGAGACATCATGAGGTACAGTTGTAGACTTACAAATTTTTGTGCTTGGGTTTCAATTATACAATGATCAAATACCCATCCCTCCATTTCCCACCACCACGGATCCCAGTATCCCTCCCACCTCCCATCCCCCCATCCCAACCTGCCTCTGTGGCAGGGCATTCAGTAAAGGGATATTCTTGATAATCTTTCAGTATCAATATTTCAAACCACAATGCCCAAAAGGAGGGAGAAAGGGAAAGTGTGTGTGTGTGTGTGAGAGAGAGAGAGAGAGAGAGAGAGAGAAAGAGAGAGAGAGAGAGAGAGAGAGAGAGAGAGAGAGAGAGAGAGAGAGAGAAAAGAAAAGTGCCTGCCATAGAGGCAGGCAGGGGGTGGGGGGGATGAAGGGTGATGGGAGGGAACCTGGGGACACTGGTGCTGGGAAATGTACACTGGTGGAGTGATGGATGTTGGAATACTGTATGACTGAAATCTAATCATAAACAGCTTTGTAAGGTTCTATCTCACAGTGATTCAATTAAAAAGTAAAAAAATAAATAAATAAAAAGAATTTCCTCAAATTTCCTCAAATTGTTACAGTATAAATCATGTTAATTCAGTTCAAACTATTTGGGTATAATAAGTAAGACCTCTTCCATTTTCTCACCTTCATTGACAAAAGCAGCTTTCTCTAAATTCCAGGTAGCATCTGTAAAACAGGCCCTCCCAATGTGAATAGTATTTTAAAAAATAATTAAGAATTTATTTTAAAAATAAGATTCTGGGGGCTGGAGCAATAGCACAGTAGGTAAGGCCTTGCACGTGGCCGACCCGGGTTCGATTCCAATTCCCAACATTCCATACGGTCCCCCTGAGCACCGCCAGGAGTAATTTCTGAGTGCAGAACCAGGAATAACCCCTGTGCATGGCCAGGTGTGACCCAAAAAGAAAAAAAAAAGATTCTGGCTTAATTTTTAATGTCTAAAACCTACATTTCTTATGCATGCTCTCTTAACTTTTCAGCTGAACAATACTAAGTAACTTTTTCTTGAGAGGGCAACTCTCCTTGGAGGTTAATAGGAAATCACATACTGCAAACACACAAAATCTCGGGCTGTAGGGATAGTAGAGGAGTTAAGGTGCTTGCCTTACATGCAGCTAAACCCAGTTTGAATCCCGGCACCACACAAGGTCCCTAAGCACCACCAGTCAGGAGTAGCCCCTGAGCACAGAAGCTGAGCACTGCTGAGTATGGCCCAAATATACACTGTCCTCCCATTGTTCATCAATTTGCTCGAGCGGGCCCAGTAACGTCTCCATTTTTTTTTTGAGACTTGTTATTACTGTGTTTGGCATATTGAATACGTCACGGGTAGCTTGCCAGGCTTTGCCATGCGGGTGAGATACTCTCAGTAGCTTGCCAGGCTCTCTGAGAGGGGTGAAGGAATTGAACCCAGCTCGGCCAGGCTGGCTGCACGCAAGGCAAACACCCTACCACTGTGCTGTGCCTACCTACTCCAGCCTGTGCTGTATCTCGCCTGCACGGCAAAGCCTGGAAAGCTACCCGTGATGTATTCAATATGCCAAACACAGTAACAAGTCTCACAATGTTACTGGGCCTGCTCAAGCAAAACGGGAGGGCAATGACATGGCCCAAATACACACATACTCTGAAAATGTCTTAATTTTTCAAAGAGAAAAAAATACACATTTTTTTCTGAGTTCTCTTTGCATGAGTTATCTCCCTGTGTGCTGAAAGTGGATAAATGATGGCTTCTCAGTATTCTGCAAACCAAAATGCCCAAAAAGAGAGAGAGCGAGAGCAAGATGGAGAGGGAGAGGGGGAAAGAGAGAGAGAGAGAGAGAGAGAGAGAGAGAGAGAGAGAGAAGTACCTATCACAGAGGCAGAATGCGGGGGTGAGAGGGTGGGAAGATACTGGGGACACTGGTGGTAGGAAATGGACATTGGTGGAGGGATGGGTGTTGAATCATTGTATGACTAAAACCCAATCATAAACGGCTTTGTAACTGTATCTCACAACGATTCAATTAATTAATGAATGAGGCTGGGTATATAGCTCAGTAATAAAGCACAGCCTTGCATGTGTGTGATATTCTCTGAGTTTGACCCATGGTGCCACACAAAAAATAAAAATTCCTCTAAGTAAAAAAATGTTATCTCCCTACAGAGATAATTTACAGACTATTACACAGTAATAGACTAGAATTTCATAGTATTCTAAATGCTTGTAGAATAAGATCCTGCCATTCTACTCCTCAAACAGTATTTAATCTATTTCTCAAAAAAAAAACATTTAATTTTTTTTCCTATAATTAGCTAACCACTAGATGGTTACAGATCCTGTCAATCATTTACTTTTTCCTGCACATTCCCAGCTTTATTCACTCTGCCAGCAGGCACAAGTAGATGCTCATTAATGCATATATCAGAACACTAAAACACTCATCCAAATGGATATATACACACTTGTTATTGCACCATTATTTACAACACCAAAAATCTGAAAACAACTGGAGTGCCCAAAAACAGCTGAGTGAATAAAGAAACTGTGGTATATTTGTATAAATAATGAAATAGTTCTCAATTATGAAAAAATGAGATTTTGCGGTGTGCTGCAACTTGGATGAAACTTGATGAGGTCATTCTAAGTGAAGTAAGTTAGAAAGAAAAAGGCTAATACTAGATGATCTTGCTCATATGTGGAGTATAAATAAACAAAGCAAGAGAATAGAAAAGTTGGAAAAGAAATATACCCTGAGATATTGCCAACAAACTGTGAATGGGAAGAGCTAGGGACCTCAAATAATGGTGGAGAGATAATGACACTCTGGCAGGGGTACAACATAGTAGCATTGCAAGTACAAAAATAATATCAATACTATTGCAAATCATGATACTTTAATAAAAATAACTGCTTTGAAAAATTACAGTAATTATAATAAATTGTATGTAGCACTGTAGCACTGTCCTCCCGTTGTTCACCGATTTGCTCGAGCGGGCTCAGTAACGTCTCCATTGTGAGACTTGTTGTTACTGTGTTTGGCATATCGAATACGTCACGGGGAGCTTGCCAGGCTTGGCTGTGCGGGCAAGATACTCTCGGTAGCTTGCCGGGCTCTCCAAGAGGGGCAGAGGAATCGAACCCGGGTTGGCCAGGCCAGCCACTTGCAAGGCAAACGGCCCTACTACTGTGAAATTATAATAATTTACTTTATAATAAGGGCTGGAGCAATAGCACAGCGGTAGGGCGTTTGCCTTGCACGCAGCCAACATGGGTGACCCAAGTTCGATTCCTCCGCCCCTCACAGAGAGCCCGGCAAGCTACCGAGAGTATCTCGCCCACACGGCAGAGCCTGGCAAGCTACCCGTGATGTATTCAATGTGCTAAACACAGTAACAACAAAGTCTCCAATGGAGACGTTACTGGGCCCGCTCGAGCAGATCGATGAACAATGGGAGGACAGTGACAGTGACTTTATAATAAATACAGTAATTATAATATATTATTATAATACCAGTGCTCTTCAACCTAAATTATACCAACCCTGATCTTTAAAATATAGTGGCAGAAGGCACATGCACGGCCCAGGTTCAGTCACCAGCATGTATCAGATGGTCTCCTTCATCCTAAAGTCCCAGAACTAAACCAACCGGAACGACCCCCAGACTCTCTGAGCATCACTTGAGAAGTAAAAAAAAAAAGTGTAGTAGTAGTAGCACTGTCCTCCCGTTGTTCATCGATTTGCTCGAGCGGGCACCAGTAACATCTCACAAAAAAGATAAATAAACCCCAGGTGCCAAGGAGATAGATATGGACACAGAGTCCCTTGGTTATTGTGGGCCAAACTGCTCACACTGTCAGTTCATCAGTTCTATACTTCCTCTCCCACCCTCTATCTATCACAGATCTTCAAAGCTTTCTAGCAGGATTCGGGCCAGAGAGATGGTACATTGGGTAAGGCACTTGCACTGCATGCATACTACTAACTCATATGCATATGGTCCCCTAACCCCGACCAGTTGAGATCCCTCAGCATAGAGCCAGGAGTAAGCCTAGCTTACTTCCAGTGTGATGCAAAAACAAACAAAAACAGTTTTCTAGCAGGATGGTTCTGCCTATTTCTTGTTTGTGCTTGCTTATACATCCCTTCTTAGCCTAGTTCATCATAAAAAAAAAAGACTGCCAATCCAAAATTGTTGTTTTTTTTAATCCCTTCATACAAGCCTTTAAAAATGCTCTAGCATGGGGCCAGAGCAATGACATAGCAGGAAAGGCATTTGCCTTGAATGTGGCCAAACCGGGTTCGATTACAAGCATCCATATGGTCCCCTGAGCCCTGCCAGGAGTAATTTCTCAGTGCAGAACCAGGAACAACACCCTGAGCATCACAGGGTGATGCTCAAAAACAAAAAATAATAAAAAATAAAAGTGCTCTAGGGGCTGGAGTGATAGCACAGCAGGTAGGGCATTTGCCTTGCACGTGGCCGACCCGGATTCGATTCCCAGCATCCCATATGGTCCCAAGAGAACTGCCAGAAGTAATTCCTGAGTGCATGAGCCAGAAGTAACCCCTGTGCATCGCCGGGTGTGACTCAAAAAGCAAAAAAAAAAAAAAAAAAAAAAACCAAAAAAAAACAATAAAAGTGTTCTAACACAGCCAAAACTATGCTGCAATGCAGTCTCTGTTCTAAGAGATATTTTTTGTCTCAAAGATAACACTGTAGCTGGGGGCCTGTACAGCAGGTAGGCATTTCCCTTGCATGCAGTTGACCAGAGTTCGATCCCCGGTACCCTCCTCAAGCATCACTAGGAGTGATCCCTGAGTGTAGAGCCAGGAGTAAGCCCTGAGCATAGATGTGTGTGGCTCAAAAACAAAAACAAATAAACAACCAAAGAATAGCACCGTTAATTTCAAAATATAAATCCAGAACTCCACTAGGATAAAAGGAAGATAAGCTGTGATTTTTACTTGCATATCTTAACTATCCCCATCCAAAAAGTCCCGAGGATAACACTGGAACTCTTCACTATTACAATCTTTCCTGCAGTAGAGGACAAGGATGCAGCCTAGCGTAAGCATATACTTCACATGTAAAAGTAACTGGGTTCAATCCCCAGCATCAAAACACACAAACATCTTGCCCACAGTTGTAAGTTATCAGGTAAAACTAAATTTGACTTAATCAGTAAATATATTGTTTATTTACTCTGCTCCTCTCGAGAGCCCAACAAGCTACAGAGAGTATTCTGCCCATATGGTAAGCCTGGCAAGCTACCAGTGATGTACTTGATATGCCAAAAACTGTAACAAGTCTCACAATGGATACTTTACTGGGCCCACTAGAGCAAACTGGTGAACAAGGGAGGACAGTGCTACAGTGCTACTGTATAACAATACTGTATATAAACAGCATATTTACCATTCTGTAGCACTGTAGCGCTGTCCTCCCATTGTTCATCGATTTGCTCAAGCAGGCACCAGTGACTCCATTGTGAGTGGAGACGTTTTTGGCATATGCAATACGTCACAGGGAGCTTGCCAGGCTCTGCTGTGTGGGCGGGATACTCTTAGTAGCTTGCTGGGCTCTCCCAAGAGGAACAGAAGAATCAAACCCAGGTCGGCCGCATGCAAGGCAAATGCCCTACCTGCTGTGCTATCACTCCAGCCCATTTACCATTCGTCAATTTATTTATATATATGCAATTTTTTTCATATAACAGGTATTTTAAATTTCAAATACTGGATGTACTTATTTCTTTAACTCAGAGCACTCCTGAGAGTATGTGATTTCATATGTTACTTTTTACCTGATGGTGTTGTTTTAATCCAAAATGTAATCTGAATATTTCATTAATAAGTGAACAGTCTCCACTAAGGTTGGCAGCTCGAACCTATCACATGAGAGAGACAAACAGAAAGAAAGTGCTTACACTCCAAACATTTATCACAACTGTTTTTAAACTGCAGAAGAATATAAAATTAGTATGTTTTTTGAAAAGCAGGTAAGACATATTTAAAATTTTTTTTCAACTCTATCATCTCAGAAAGTTCTTAAGAAAAAGAGCAGACATCATGAGCTATGCTTGACAATGTCACGTTTATTGAGCAGGGGGTACAACTGCTTACCAAAGGGAATTTTCAAAACTTTACAGTGCAGTATTGCTGATGGAACTAATTTCTTCTATAGCCAGAAGTCAGAGGGTTAGATTCCACCACTAAAGTCCATGCTCTCTATGCTATACAAACACTTCTGGAATTTTCCAAGAGGATTTCAAGAAAATATGCACTTTTTTCTCCCCTTTTATTTTTGGGCCACACCCAACCACACTCAGAGCTTACCACTGGCAGGGCTCAGGAGACCATACACAGTGCCAGAGACAGAATCTATGTCTGTCATGTGCAAGACAAGTGCCTTGACCCCTGTACAAGAAACTATTCTATCCAGAGTCTGGCAGCTTGCGGCAGAAAAGTGAATGGACCATGCTTTAAACTATGGCGCCATGCCTCCCCAGGAGGGAAAGGGTGTTGCTCTCTTCCGCCTTTTTCCCCCCTGGCAGCAAGGTGGCTGCCGCCTCAGAGCTTATTGGAAAGCCAGGTATGAGCTGGCGGTGACGGGGCAACTGCAGTCTCATGGGAAGGGGGACGGTACCAGCTCATCCTTCACGCCCTACCGAGGTCACGAGTTGCCCTCCATAAGCAGCTCTCCAGCACAGCCATAACACCAGAAGCACAGAAACCAATCTCGTAATTATCTAGCTCTTTGCAGAAATCCAAAATCATTATATGACATTATATGATTCTCATACCAGCTATAGAAAACTAAATATTTCACAATGCCTTCTCAGCAATTCTGATTGTTGGGGGGGGGGGGGGGATTCTAAACAATAATGGTGCATCTTTTGTCGAAATAATGAATGTAATCAATGTAGAGAAGAGTTAAGTAGAAATCATCCGCCTCACAGGTATTGGGAGAAGTGGGAGGGGGGTATATTGGGATTCTTGGTGGTGAAAAATGAGTACTGGTGAAGGGAAAGGTGTTTGATCATTGTATGACTGAGACTTAAACCTGAAAGCTTAATAACTTTTCCCATAGTGATGCAATAAATAAATATAAGAAGAAAAATAAATAAATAAATAAAATTATGAAAAAAAAGTAAGGTGGAGTTCATGCCCAATTCAATCAGCTAATCAGTGACTGAATAAATAGCAATACTCCTACATAAAAAAAAAAACTATTCTTCCAAAGATCAGCAAAATGAGTTTCAAATGTGAATCTAAAGCTAGATATGTCGTATTTATCATATGAACCCCCGAACACCACGCCAAACTGCTGAAATTCTCTTGGACTTTCCCATAAATCTATGTAAATGTGAAAAGTGCCCTGTGAAAAATTAAGTACTATAAACTCAAAGAATCAAGAACATCCCAAATTGGTTTTGCTATAATTAGGACATATATTCTGATTTACTGTAATTTTTAAGGTAAAGAGTGATCTTAATAGATAAAAGTCTTAAAAATATAATCAGAAATTCTACAACCAACCTCACCAAATTTTTCAAAATAAAATGAACCAATTATTATTCCTACAATACTATACTCCTGTTCTTCCTAACATCCAAGAGAGATCTATTAAAAAGAACTATTCTACAGGACTGGAGCAATAGCACAGCAGGTAGGCTGTTTGCCTTGCAAGCGGCCGACCCGGGTTCAATTCCCAATATTCCATATGGTCCCCCAAGCACTGCCACAAGTAATTCCTGAGTGCATGAGCCAGGAGTAACCCCTGTGCATTGCCGGCTGTGACCCAAAAAGAAAAAAAAAAGAACTATTCTACAAATAATATGACATGCAACTAGATGCATGTATTTAATTATTTATTATTAATTTCAATGAAAGAAAAAAATCTAAGGTATAAAATAAACATTTGATTGGGTTTTTTTTTGGGGGGGTGAGGAGGGGATAGGGCACGCACAGCAGTGCCCAGGACTTACTACTGGCTCTGCACTCAGGAATCACTCCTGGTGGTACTTGTAGCACCATATGAGGTACCAGATATTAAACTCAGGTAGGTCACATGCAAGGCAAGCCCCTTAACCATGTACCACTAGCTCCTTTGATGCCCAAGTATGAATTTTTGGATATGTTTTTGTTAGCTTTTCAGCAGATTGGAATCTAGAATTAATGAAATACATATCTCTCTAGGGCCAGAGATATACATATATATATTTAAGAGCAATCCAAAGGGCTTCATAATAAAAAATACCTTTTTATGTTAAATTTTGGAGACTAGATTTTACTCTAGATCAAGCATGGAACTTCACCTACATATGCAGCACAGCAAAACAGCGAGGACCCTGGACATAATTCTTACCATCACTTACTACCCCTAAAATCTAGACAACTACACCATGTTCCACATATATAAAACAGGGATAATAGAATGGATTATTAGGAAGAGTAAAGGAAAACCTATCAACAACATTGAGGATCAGAGGCCTCAGTAAATGTTAAATATTATCTTAATTATTAACTATTTGAAGTATTATTTTTATATCATTTATTCCATGTGAAAAATAGTTTATTGTTATAAGTATAGACATATTTATGAGAATTTAATGGTTCTACTTAAAGACAATTCTAAAAAGATACTTTTAAACTCTCATATCTCAAAAATTATATTCAGCAAAGTGAACAAGACTGACGTGGAAATATGACAGTAAGAAAAGGGATACATTTAAATAAATTATACTTGAATAAATGCTCAAACAATATGTTCCGGGGGAACAAATGTTTCTGCCACAATAAAACTCACCTCTGAGCAGGCCAAATGTCTGACATTGGTAAACCAGTCAACATGGGCACGACAGTGATCAAAGGCATGAATGAGCTCATGGGTTACCACTCTGTTCATATGAGCCTGATTACCAATATTATTCTGGCACAAAACAATCTACAAGATACAAAGATACAAAAATAAAAGAAAACAGTTATTTCTAAAATTGACTCTCATTGCTCATCTATTTCATCTTTTCTCACAAAATGGAAGGCATTTCCACATGGTCCCTACTCTTCTCCACTGACCCCACCTCTCCCCATCCAACAAAGGTTCTACCTATGCCTGCTCCATGAAGCCATCCTCAGTGTCGAACTTCTCCTTTCTCTTCTCTTTGACCTATCATAGCACTGATATATATCTATTCATATACCTGCCTGGTTAATGTACCAATTGGTCTTGGGTTTTACAATACTATAATAAAAAGGGGTGAACTTTGAAATGAAGCTGACAGATTGAAATTCCAGTCCCATTCCATACTAACTTGGTGACCATTGAGAAAGCTTCTTAATGGTGTGTCTTATTTTCTGAACAATGAAAAAGAGGGAGTACCTAGCTTATTGTTAGAATTAAGGGAGACCATAGAATTAAGCAAGACCAAATCAAAATTATTATTAAGATTTTTATTCTTATTAGTGATCATTCAATTGAAAATGAATGGGACATTGTCCCATTCAATTAGAATTGCAAGAAAAGTCCTAAGAAAGATCTTCAGGATAAAGTACAAAAAGTCAACAGCACATTGACTAGGATCTTAGAAGAATAATAAAGACAGGAAGATTCCTAATGGTAACTAATAACAGTTACCATTTATAGTATACTTACTATGTGGATCACACCCACTAGTACCCAAGACTACTCCAAGCTTTGTGGTCAGACACCCATGCAATGTCAGGATCAAACTAGGGATCTAGTTTGATGCAAAGTATGTGCACCAGTCCTTTGAACCATCTCCCCAGTCCATGCACAAGTAATTCTTATATATTCATTTATTCAATTGTTGAACTCTACTAGTAGATTTATAATCTGGTATTGGAAACAGAAATTAATTAAGGATTTACCAAAATACATGAAATAAGAGTTTTCATGAGGAAAACTTCAAGTTGTCAAGAGTGCATACAATAATAATACCTGATCTATTCTAAAAAGTCAGGAAAAATTTCTCTGCATCAGAGCTTAATGTCTAAACTGGGCCCTCACATAGGGAAATTGGTGGAGAGTTGTAGGCACTCTGATGGTGGTGGGATGCAATATTTTTGTACATCAATACCATAAGCTTTAATACTAACATAACTACCGAAATTATAATAAAAATTAAATAGGGGCTGGAGAGATAGTAGAGGGCTTAAGGCATTTGCTTTGCATTTGGCCAATCTTTGTTCCATCCAAAGCATGGTCCCCTGAGCACCACCAAGAGTGTCCCTGACTACAGAGCTAGGTGTAAACACTGAGCACCAGACAGTTTGCTCCCTCTCCTCTTGTCCCAAAAATAAAGAGAGGGCATCTAGCACCAAGAATTAAAGGGTTTAATTCTTTTAAGTCCCTTAACATTTAACAGTTGCTAGAGGAAAGTAACATAGTATAGGAACAATCAGAAGCATGCAGCTTACTAGAAACAAAGGAAAGAAAATGTTTGGCATTATCTGTAAAGTCAAATGAATGCATACTTGCATACTCTATAACCTAGCAAATTCTCTTCCAAGGCATATACTCTGAAAGAAGTCTAGCCCCTGTGCATGGAGAGAAGGTGAAAAATATTTCCAACAGCTTAGGTCCAAACAAAGTTGGAAACAATATCAGATAAGGCAAACTGCCTACAGACATATAACGGAATACTACTCAACAGTGAAAGTTAGCAAACCAGAAGTGGCACATAGTGAAAGAATCTCACAATGTTGATCCAAGTAATATTAATACGTACATCGAATATATAGAACACAATATACTGTATGATTTAATAAAACTACAAAATTGTACAAATAACTCAAAGGATTTCATGTAGGAGGCTTAAAATGAAGCAACTAGCAAATATATTGTGGGAATGTATATATCGATGGGAAAGCCATTCAGAATGTAGAGAATGATTGTCACAAAAGTAAAATAAGAGGGAGAGCAAATGCAATCCAAGCAAATGTAATCCAAGAGGAAAACACAGACTTCTGAAGTCCTGGCAATGTTCTGTTTCTCAAGTCTGCATGGCAGTTCACAAATGTTCATGCTATTACTATGACTAAATATAAGTGTTTTTTCTTTGACAGTACAAATTTTAATTTAAATGAGAGTTCCCAACTGTTTAACACAGCTTGAAAGGCCTAGCAGATCTATGTAAAGTCCTTCATTCTCAAAGAGTTGCATACAATTCTTTTCCAGTGCACATGGGACATTCTCCATGACAGAACACATGCTGAGTCACCAAACATAACTCCATAAAATCAAGAAGATGGAAATCGAACTTTTAGTCTTGGCTGTCATGCCCAAGAACTACCTCCGGGTGCCATATAAGTGCCTTAACAGCCTTGATCCAGAGACACACGAATGAATCTCAGAACCAAACAGCTTGCTGCAGAGATGACTCCAGACCCTAATTATTTAAAAATTTAAAATTCCAGGAGTGCATGGCCATGACATCTCATATTATTCATAACAAGAAATAAAAAATATATAATCTGTCATCTGCCTATGGGGCAGGCTTGAGTGGTGGTAGGAAAATTCGAAATAATGGTGGTGGGAAATTGTAATGGTGCTGGGATTGGTATTGAAATATTGAATGTAATCAATTACTGTGAACAACTTTATGAAAAATAAATTTTTTTTCTTTTTTGGGTCACACCTGGCAATGCTCAGGGGTTACTTGCTCAGGCTTTGCACTCAGGAATCACTCCTGGCGGTGCTCGAGAGACCATATGGGATGCTGGGAACTGAACCCGGGTCGGCCGCATGCAAGGCAAACGCCCTACCTGCTGTGCTATTGCTCCAGCTCCTGAAAAATAAAATTTTTTAAATTTTTTTTAAAAAATCAAACTTGCTCTTCAAGACCATGTTCTCGTTTCAACAAGTATCTTTCAGATATGTCTCTTCACTGGCTTGCTTCCTGGTTTGCTCTTCAAGTTCGTGTTCTCCCTTGAACATAGATCTTACTTGCTTACCTCTATGATTTTTGCCTGTTGTTTTTTTCCACTATGGAGAAGCCCACATTCTCTCTTGAATATGTATTTCCTCTCTTTCTCTCCCCTCACATCCTTCTAAGTAAGTTTTGGTCAATAAAAACAATCTTTTTTTTTTTTCAAAAAAAAGAAAAAGAAAAAGAAGACAGGATTCATATAAACTATTCTCTCAGACAAAGATGCTTTGAAAAATTTAAATTAATGACAAAGAGAAACTGGGAAAAAACTCAAACACTTGGAAATTAACTTTTTAAAAAATAAAAAAGAATTTTCTGAATTTAAGAAAAAAAGAGACCATTTTAAAAATGGAATATCTGAAAAACAGAAGAAAATAAAATCAAGATATACAGTACATGAAGCAACAAGTGGCCAAATGCAGCAGAACTAGAGAGTCAGTCTACAGAACTGTGCTTACCCTGCACCTTAGATGGAGGGATCTTTAGGACTATATGGCTTGCTGTAGTTTCTACCCTATTTCCCTATACCCTCATTCATTCCTGCACTCCCGCTTAACAAGACACATACACCTTGTGCTTTCCCAAAACAACCTTTGATCATGATACCCTGCTATGTACAAAAGTCTTTGTCTTCTTTTGCCAAAAAGAGGCTTTAAATTTCTCAAATCTAATCTGTTGGCATCTTTTAGTCAATTACATCATAGTACCATTGGTAACCATTTATCTACCCATATTCACAAAATAGTTTGACCTAATTAGGGACTAGAGTGATAATACAGTGGGTAAAGAATTTGTCTTGCATGAGGCCAACCCAGATTCAGTCCCCAGCAGGCCCTATCAGGAGTCATCCCTGAGCTCAGAGCCAGGAGTAACCTCTGAGTACTGCCAGTGGTGCACCCCTCAAACAAAAAAAGTTTGACCTTATTCAAATTTTGTAACTCTCTGTATCCATGTACTCTCCAAAAATGTAAGATTCTTAAAAGGACCTTTTTTTTTTTTAAATCCAATACCATCTACCAAAGAAATGCCCAGCATAGAGAAGATGATCAGTAAGTACCAAGAGAGAAAATTAGACTAAAGAATACAACTTGAAGCCGAAGAGATAGATAGAGATAGGCCTTGCATGCGGCCGATCCTGGCTCAATCCCAGGCATTCCATATCGTTCCCAAGCACTACCAGGAGTAATTCCTGAGTGCAGAGCCAGGAGTAACCCCTGACACCTCCGGGTGCGACCCCCAAAAAAAAGAAAAAAAAAGAAAATAATTTAGCAAAAATGCCCACTTGAGGGGGCAGAGATCTTGACAGTATAAGAGGTAAGGCATTTATCTTGTATGAAGCCCCTGGGGCCCACCCTAATTTGATCCCTGGTACCACATATGATTCCCCAAGAATCACTAAGGGTTGTTCCTGAGTACAGTGCGAGAAATAGCCCCTGAGCACCTAGGGATATGATCAAAAAACCTCCCACCAAAAAAAAAAATCCTACCTGAGAGGTTGAAGCATCAAAACCTCCACTGACATTTCCATTACAATCTTCACATGAAAAGTGTCTTTCTCTGTTAACTTCACTAAGAAAATTAAAGAGACAATATCCAGAGTTAACATCTGGCAGGCAAAGCAGCTCTGGGCCCAGAGGCAGAAGACCCACATCACTCAATCTCATGCCACTAACAGGAAAGAAACACTGGGAAAGCTCAGAGTCAAGATTCAGATTCTTTCATCTGCAAAATAAGGAGATGGTCTCTGCAAAATTTATAGTAATTTAGAATCGACAGCTTGATTCCACAAGGCTTTTGGTATACTGATTAAAATCGTACTGAAATTAGGCTGGAATTCCTGCCTGTGATCCCAAATGTCGAGGCATCCTAGAAGTCACTTCCTCTATGCCCCTTGAAGTTAAGCTATACCTAGATGACACTGAAATAGCAGCTGTGAATTCTTGTCCATTAATGGCAATGTTGAGGCTGAGGTAGTGAAAAAGTTAAGTTTGGTAATTACTTACAAGAAATATATTTTAGTATTGTCTTTACTAAGTCCCTAGGCGAATGGCAGTATTAGAGATTTAGTATTACAGAGCAGAGATGCCACAAAGAAAATAGGGGCTGCCTGGAGAAAATGGAGCCAATCACCATCAACTCCATATAGAAAGAGCTTTTCCATACCAGAAGTGAAAATCTTAAGTAATTTCAATTTTTCAGATTTTGTTTTTTAGCAACCAGAATATATAGCATATTTCAAGAAGACTTACCATCCAGTGTGTTTCATGGCATCAAGGAGAAGTTTGACATATGGATCTAGAAAGACATGGGTTCGATTAAGTATGCTAACAGGAAAAGGCAACAACAGTTAAATTATCCAAGTGGCAGTATAGAAGATACATTACCCATAATAACTCATATATCAACAATATAATGAAATAATATTACTTAAAACTAAAAGGCCCTCCCGTTGATCATCGATTTGCTGGAGCGGGCCCAGTAACGTCTCCATTGGAGACTTTTTTGTTACTGTGTTTGGCATATCGAATACGTCACGGGGAGCTTGCCAGGCTCTGCCATGCGGGCGAGATACTCTCGGTAGCTTGCCGGGCTCTCCGAGAGGGGCAGAGGAATCGAACTCGGGTCGGCCATGTTGGCTGCATGCAAGGCAAATGCCCTACCGCTGTGCTATCGTTCGGGTTACTTAAAACTAATAAAAATAAACTATTATAAAGGCTTAAATTAACATAAGAGCTAGAGAGATAGACAGTATCATGGTAGGGTACATGTACATGGTAGGGTACATGCAACCAAACCCTGGTTTGATCCATGGCATCACATATGGTTTCCAAGCACTACCAGAAGTGATTCATGAACACAGAGTCAGGAGTGATCCCTAAGCACCACCAGAGGTGTCCCAAAGCCCTCCCCCCAAAAAAAGTAAAAGCATAAACAAGTTAATAAGCATTAAAATGCATACTTCTCTGCCTCCCTTTCATTGATTGGTGAGAGGAAGGAGGAAGGGCACAGGTATATGATTCCCTGTGTTCTGTAGGGGGTGTGTGGGATACAGAATAACAATGATCTGCCCCTACCCTAAGTGGGGGATAGATTGAGAGACTCAAAAATAATAGGGCCCAGCTTCAGGACTGATCTCAGAGAGATGCCGGCAGCTGAGGTATCCCAGGAAGGCCGAGCAGCCACTAGGTAAAGACTGCTGGACCCTAGGTGGGATAGGGCAGACAAGAGTACCTGCCCTGACAAAAGCCCAACACTCCACCCACCCATATCTGGCTTCTGCAGCTGCCAGAGAATCAGCCTAGCTTCGCAACTGATCTCAGAGGCATGCCAGAGAGACACCTGCAGTTGATGGTCCCAGTGTCAAAGTCCCTGAAGTTAACAGCCAAATATGTAGCTGGAAAATACCTCCAGACATCACAGAGCTAACAGTCCCAGAGAAACAAGAGAATTAGTTGGGGAAGTTGAGTGGAAACCCACTAAGCTCAGTGAGTGAAAACAGTAACACAGAAGGCCAAGCTTGCACCTAAAAGTTCAGCAAATCCTCATGTCATGACTTTAGTCACATACCATTACAAGATATATGTTGAAATAAGCAACATAAATTAATTAATTTATATTAGTATATAAACTAAATTAATTAGTGCCCACTAAGAGAGCAGGCTTTAAGGTTAAGGGGGATGGATGGGAGGAGTTGAAGGGGAGTGGGACATAGATGGAACTGGTATTGGAATACTGAATATCTGAAAGAACTGTATTTTGAACAATTTTTTAGATCATGGTGTTTAAAGTTTTTAAAACGACAAAAATTTAATAGAAAAGCAATCTTTAATGAACTGAAACACTGATATAAATACAATATGGGTACTATCAAATATCTTCAATAATAACAAACTTGTAAAAGACCATTTTTAGTTACATGGTTAAATAAACTGTATTGAGGCAAGCTATAGAGAGTATCCTGCCCACACGGCAGAGCCTGGCAAGCTCCCCGTGGCGTATTAGATATGCCAAAAACAGTAACAACAAGTCTCACAATGGAGACATTACCGGTGCCCACTCGAGCAAATCAATGAACAATGGGAGGACAGTGCTACTGTGCTACAAGGTAGGCCCAAAAAAGATTTAAATTTTGGCCATATCCATAAAAATGAACAGCACCTGTGTATAGTGAATGGAGGAAGGCGGTAAGTATACCCCCACCTCTACCTGTTCTACATCTACTTGTGTCCTGTTCCAACCACACAGGCAACACAACTTCCTGTGTTGAGTACAACATCCTAAAGAGGAACTGTCAACTAAAAGGAAAGAAGACTAAAAAATAGCATGGATCTATATCCAATAAAAAGTAAGAAAGGTTGAAATAATGAATATAATCAAAGTAAAGAGAGAGTTAAGTGGAAATCATCTGCCTCACAGGCAGGGAGAGGGGTGGGATAGGGGGTATTACTGGGATTCTTGGTGGTGGAAAATATGCACTGGTGAAGGAATGGGTGTTTGATCATTGTATGACTGAGATTTAAAACTGAAAGCTTTGTAACTCTTCTCATGGTGATTCAATAAATAAATTTTTAAAAAAGTAAGAAAGGATTTGTAGATGAAAAAAACTTAACTAAGACCACAATAATTTCAAATACCTGTGGAAATGCCATGTGGAAATAGACAATACTGGAGAGGTAAAATAAGAGCCAAAGGGTAGAAACAATACAAGGCAGATTTTAACCCAGTATGAAAAAGTATGAGAAAGATTTTAATCCAATATTAAAATAATTGATAAAATAGACTACTAGCCTCAAAAAGCCTCAAAGAGCAGGTAACCTCTTCTGGCAGAGGTCTATAAGTGCCCTGGGCAGCGATGGCACAGAAGCTTTGCTCCACTGAAAGGCCTGAGTGTCCTTCAACTACTAGGAGTATATGAGCCAGTAATAATCACTCATAATGGTTACAGTAAAGTCCAAAGAATGCAACTACCCTAATATCAACTTTTCACATAGGCATCTTGATAAAGAGTATAAATGCACTGCAAATTAAGTAACATTAAAAAAAAAAGCCCAGAAAAAAAATTTAAGCACTGAAAGTAAAACAGGTAAAAGTTTTTAAAAAAATTAATTAAAAATTAAAAAAAAAAGAAACTGAAGTGAGAAAATTAAGTGTAGTAATTCCTCTTTAGGTGACCTACTTAAGAGTATAAACCTCTTAAGAGTGTAAAATTAAAATTGAGGCCATATAGCTGGTAAGGCATTTTCTGTGCATGCTGCCAACCCAGGTTCGATTCCTGGCACCTCATGTGGTCCCTGAGCCCACCAGGAGTGGTTTCTGAGAGCAGAGCCACGAGTAAGTCCTGAACACAGCTGGGTGTGGCCTCCAAAAAAGAGTGTAAATCATAAAATAATTATTGATACTATTGAGTGAACATATCTTTCATCCTCTTGCCCCAGGAAGGGTAACCCACACTTCTCACAGTCCATCTCCTCCACTGTTGGCGCATATCCCCTGGAAGAACAGCTACCCTGTACTCAGCCCTTCACACTCAGGATATCTACTCCTCACAACCCTAAATGAAGTAATTTCAGTCCTCAGTGTCATTTTTTTTCCTGCAAAAAGGCTAGAAGGGATCAGAGAATTAAAGCATTCCTCCCTCCATACTATCAATGACCAGAATTTGAGTCCCTGTCTAAATCTGCAGTCTATGTTCTTTTCACTTGATCCACTTCCAAACATCTTAAAGCCAAGGTCCTTACTCATCTTTGACTTTCCTGGGACCAGAACACAATCTCGGAGGCAATAAACGCTAGCAAAAACTGTCAATGTCAACTTTCCCTCTGCCCTCCTTCCTCTCTCCTTCAATTCCCTAACAGAAACTTAAGGCTAGGACATCTTTGAGTTGTGGACATTTGAATGAGGACTGAGTGACAGCTATGAAAAAGTATGAAACAATGAACTACGAGTAACCCTGCTTTGGGACAAATATGTTTAAGTGATTTTCTAGGCGGTCCTTGGCAGGACTCTATAAAAGTCAAGGGGCGAGGAAATGTCTAATGCCCTGTCCCTGGGTCTACTGAGAAAAAAAAATCCGCAGGTAGCTGGGTCTCTACTTAACCCACAAAACTGGTTTTTCTCTTTCGGGGGGGGGGGGGGGGGGTCCTGCGCCCGCTGAGAATACAATGACGCTATGGACTGTCTCCGCCCCAAAATGCACGAGATTCGGCTACTCAAAATTTCGCGTTCAGTTCATTTCAAAGGGGTTCTACTCTCAGAACTCCATCGGTGTACGAAGGTTAAGGAAGGGTAGGTTTGCAAGCCTGTTCGGCTTTTGCCAGCAGGAGGTATGCCTTAATCAAGGTGACTTTAGAAACTCTTGTTTCACTCGAACTCTAAAAGCCGCACGTTGCTGCAGAATTTTCAAACTAAGACAGAGAATCTATCAGACTAGTGAGTGTGTCGGGGGGATGGGGGGCAAACTCCTGGGCCGATTCTTTGCTCATTCTAAAATCAGGGGACCGAACCAAAGCCGGGAGGGCGCTTGCCTTGCACGTAGCCAACCCAAGTTCGAGCCCTGGCACCCCCAATGATCCCCTGAGTCCGCCGGAAAGGATCCCTGACAGGAGTATGCCCTTATTAGCATCGCGGGATGTGGCCCCAGAACAAAGCAAACATGGGGCCTCAGGGCCGACCGGAAACCCAGTGCCCAGCGTCCCACTCCCACGCCTCAAGACGCCGCCTCTGCTTGTGCCCCCGGCCCTTCCCTACCCGCCGCTGTGATCACACACAAGCCTGCCCGCCCCCAACTCTGGGTCACGGCTCCTACTTGTCCGCAGCGTTTTCAGAAGCATGAGCTGGCACTTCTGATGACTGGAGAAGAAGCTGGAGAGGAACCCTGGCGGGGGGTTCCCCCGGGCCTGCCGCTTGGGGAAGACTTGACAGGGGACGTGTTGCTGCTGCTGCTGCTGCTGCTGCTGCTGCTGCTGCTCCGGGCCCTGTCCGCGCTCCCCGGGAGCCCCAGCCATGCTGACCACCGGGCCCGCCACGGGGCCCTCCTGCCTGCCACGACCCGCGGGGAGACACGGAAAGGTGAGGTCCCTTCCGCCAACGCCACGGCTGGGGCCCGCCCTCCGCTAGGCCCACCCCGCGCGGGGCGGAGCTGAAGACGCTGGCGGGAGAACCCTCCAAGTGGGACTAAGGCCGCGGGGCCGGCCGCGGGGCGGGGCTAGGAAGGGGTGGGGGAGAGAAGTGAGCGGGGGACAAGGGCGGGGCGACAGGGTAGGAGGGCGGAGCCCCGGGGTAGGCGGGCGGGGTGACAGAGCAGGAGGGCGGGGCTACAGGATAGGAGGGCGGGGCTCCAGGCGGAGGGGCGGAGTGAGCGGAGAGAAGGGAGGGCGACAGGGTAGGAGGGCGGGGCTTGGTCGAGTTAAGGACCTTGGTCTAAGGGGCGGAGCGGAGACGGACCAGGTTAGAGGCCTGGGTAAAGATGCTGGGCAAGGTGAGGGGCGTTGAACCCCTTTCTTTTCCCCACTATGAAGTTCTGATCAAATAAATCCTATTCTGTAGGGCATTCCCAGATACCTAAATCAAAATTAACTCACAATGTACAAAATTCTTTGTACCTATTACCACCTATCCTGGGGCTGAGATCTCCAAGCCTGCTCGGATGGGGGCTGAGCATCCTCCACCCAGACCCTCCAAATTCCAGTAGGCAGGGGTCACACCCACCAACTGGCCCCCTGGCGCCGTGTAATCCCATCAACGACCAAGACCCAGAGACTATAAAACCCAGCTCCTGGAAGATATCTTATTATCTCATTCCTACTTTGGACAAACGGGCAGGCTACCAAATGTAACCTGCCCACACAGCAGAGTCTGGCAAACTCCCCATGGTGTACCCAATATGCCAAATACCAGTAACAAAGATGGGTCTCATTCTCCTAACCCTGAAAGAGCCTTGAATATGGCACTTTTTAAAAAAAATCCCAGGGCTAGGACGAAGGAGACGTTACTGGGGCCTGCTCGAGGCAATCAACAAATAACAGGATGGTCGTGATCGTGATCGTGATTACCACTTTCATCACAGTCTTCCAAGTTTCAGTTAACTTGTGACTCTCTTTACCCATTCAAATACTCAACTCAGAGGCCAGAGCAGAAGCACAGGGGATAGGGCCTTGCCTTGCACACAGTTGAGCCAGGTTCGGTCCCCAGCATTCCATATGTTCACCTCCACCCCTACCCCCCATCTCAGCACCGCCAGGAGGGATCTCTGAGCACAGGAGTAATCCCAAGCACTGCCAGATGTGGCCCCAAACAGAAGCAAAGCAAATTTTTAAAATACAATTATTTGGGGGCTGGAGCGATAGCACAGTGGGTAGGGCATTTGCCTTGCACACGGCCGACCAGGATTTGATTACTCCGTCCCTCTCAGAGCGGAGAGCCCAGCAAGCTACTGAGTGTATCCCACCCGCACGACAAAGCCTGGCAAGCTCCTCGTGGTGTATTCAATATGTCAAAAACAGTAACAAGTCTCACAATGGAGATGTTACTGGTGCCTACTCAAGCAAATTGATGAACAACAGGGAGGACAGTGCTACAGTGCTACAATTATTCAATTCACACTTCTAATCAGCACCTGCTGTGATGAGCCAGACAAGGCTGCAGAGACTAAGGAAATAGAATAAGAGAATTGCTTCAACTAAATAGTATTATACAGTTTATGTAAGAAATGGAAAAACAGGGTCGGAAAAATAGTACAGCGGGTAGGATGCTCGCCTTGCTTTCACCTGACTCGGGTTCCATCTCCTGCACCCGATATGGTCCCCGAAGCCCCACCAAGAATGATCCCTGAGCACAGAGCCAAGAGTAAACTCAGGTGTAAGATTGGAGGTGACACACACATACACACAAAAAACTTTCAAAAAATGTTAAATACAAGTATCAAGAGGACTTCAGGATTATAAACAGTGCTTATGTGTCATAGACGTGATCTAAACTGAGATGCCAGGATCATTCATTGAAATTAACCAATACAAACACTTATGTAGATAGAATGTTGGAGTCTTTTAGTTTACTAAAGGAGTCTAGGCCAAAGAGATAGCACAGCAGTTAGGGCACTTGCTTTTCTCATGGCTGACCTGGGTTTGAACCCTAACATCCCATGTGGTCCCTGACATCCCATGTGATCCCCAGAGCATTGTCAGAAGTGATTCCTCAGTACAATTCCAAGAGTAACCCCTGAGCAGTATCTGCCCGTGTTGCGGGGGTGGAGGTGGGGCCACTTTTAATTAAGTTCACCTTGAATAAATCATTTCTTCTTTGGGGTAGGGATGTGGCACAGCTGATGGTGCTCAGGGTTGCTCCTAGTAGTGGTGGGAACCATATCAAGCCAGGAATCCAACATGCGCCACCTGGTACTTTTTCTACTAAGCTGGTCACTAGTTGAGCTCCCTCTCAGACCCTGGATACATTATTTCTTTTCTTTTCTTTTTTAATCACCCTGAGATATAGTTATAAAGTTATTCAGGATAGAGTCTCAGTGAAACAATGTTCCAACACCCTGGATGCATTATTTCTAATCCCCACTATAACCGTTAAAAATAAGTATTATGGTTATGTTGTAAGTATAGGCAAAGATTTAAATAGAATGATTTTCATTTCTGCATTGCGGTAATGATCCAGGGCAAAAAGAACTGAAACTATCCCAGAGTCCAATAAGAGATACAGTGGAATAAGTGTAAACTGTGTTGAGGATGTTACTATCTTGAATGTTTACAAAAGTTTTGTTACTTTTGTAAGACAATGTGATTTCATTTTGAAATTTTACTATCTGCAGACTGCTACAACTAGTTCTGTATTCTGGGTCTGAGTGTGATGTTTAGACATTTTCTAAAGAAAAATAACTGCTTTCTTAAAATTTTTATTAGTGAAACACCATAAGGTACAGTTGTAGACTTACAATTTTTTTGTGCTTGGGTTTCAGTTATACAATGATCAAATACCCATCCTCCACCAGTAACCATTCTCCACCACCACTGATCCCAGTATCCCTCCCACCCCCCATCTCCCCATCCCACCCTGCCTCTGTGGCAGGGCATTCCCTTTTGTTCTCTCTCTCCTTTTGGGTGCTGTGGTTTGCAAAAGAGACATTGTGTGGCAATCATGTTCGATCTATAGTCTACTCTCAGCATGTATCTCCCATCCTGGGAGGATCCTCCCAACATCCTTTATTTGGTGCTCCCTTCTCTATCTGAGCTGCCTTTTCCCAGTAACTGCTTTTCTTTTTTAAAGGAAACGAATAGTTTAAAGATTTTAAATACATCACAGGTACAAAAGAGATTGCTTATAAATACTCTTCACTTTCCCTTTTGTAATAATAAACATCTCATCCACATACTGAAAACCAAGCAAAAATGGCAACAGAAAAGCGTTTCATTAGCTTTCCATTCATTTTGAATGTTGGCAAAGAACAAAGCAGTCTCCCATCGCCTTCCAGACACTCCCCACTCCCGCCTAGTGATCCTACAATGCAGGTAACTACCTCACACCTGAACTGTTGCCCTGACAGTTCAGGAAGGAGTCAGTCAGCCCCTCCAGGAAGTGAACATAAAAAGGCGTGCAGCATTCTGGGAAGAATGGCAGAAGCAGGGCGGGGGCGTGGTTAAACAGTTACGAGGCAACTGGAAGCACCAGAAGGTTATCACCGTTAGGAGCAGGTAGCACAAGTGAGATGCCCAGACGTGTTTGGGGGCACGCTAAAGATTTTTGAGTGCTTCGGCCTGCTCCCCCTTGGCGGCTCAGTGACCGTCATCCTCCAGAGGCCATTGGACAGTCAGGCTTGGGCCCACAGTGACGAAACTTGTTGGGCCTCATGGGATGGGGGTAGAGCCGGTCCTGTCCTCCCCACCCCAACGAGACCCCAAGTCATCGCCCAGGAACGGCCTCTCTGGCTCCTGATCAAGCTGCTTAACGGCCAAGATCCAAGAGACTCAGAAACAAATTTCGAAACCCAGTGGCTTTTGGCAGAAATGCATCCAGACCACGCAGTAGGTTACTGTCACCAGGCCACCCCAGGGGGGAAAAGGTGTTGTCCCTCCGCCTGCTCCCCCTAGGTGGCCACCATCCTCCAGAGGCCACTGGAAAGTCAGGTTTGGGCCCTCAGTGACGAGACACACGGGGCCTCGTGGGATGGGAGTGGAGTCGGCCCTTTCCTCCCCATCCCAAGGAGACCCCAAGTCGCCGCCATGAACGGCCTTTCTGGCTCCTGATCAAGCTGCTTAACAGCCATGATCCCAGAGACTCAGGAGCAAATCTCGGAACCCAGCAGGTTTTGGCAGAAATCCCTCCAGATTTACGTGTTAAAATTTTGGAATTTCAAAATCACACGGCCACTACAGCAGCCACGCAACACCATATGTTATTCATAACCAGCAATAGAACACAAATTGTCTACTGTTGCCTTTTTGGCAGATCTGAGTGTTAGGGTAAAATCCCAAATGAATAATGGTGGGTCTGGTGTCAAAATATTGAATATAATCAAAGTAGAGAGAGAGTAATGTGGAAATCATCTGCCCCACAGGTAGGGGGAGGGGTGGGATAGGGGTATACTGGAGTTGTTGGGGGTGAAGAATGGGCACTGGTAAAGGTATGGATGTTTCATTGTATGACCGAGACTTAGACCCAAAAGCTTTGTAACTGCTCTCACGGTGATTCAATAAATAAAATTATAAAAAAAAAAAAGTAAGGTGGAGTTCATGCCCAATTCAATCAGCTAATCAGTGGCTGAATAAATAGCAGTACTCCTACATTTAAAAAAAAAGATTTTGATTGCTCTTTCAAAAGAATATCATCATATCAGGAGGTTATGTTTCAAGCGGGAGTGCCTCGGAACATCAGGATTGCACCCTCTTGTTTTTCGTGCCTGGGCTAAAATGAAGTGTGGGCCCGTTGATGCCTCACTTCTGGAGTCACTTCTCTAGTTAATGCCTCCTTTTAGAATATGTAAATTGAGAATACCTCGTTTGTATTGTAATGTATTCTAATGCCAAAAG